CGATCACACCTTGTTTCTTGCGCTTAATGTTTGTGGAGGTTCCACCCCTACATGGCTGGGATGCGCAAATTGTGAGGGCTTCGGCTCAACGACATCTAGCTTGTCGGCGAGAAAGGAGGAAAAACATTAGTCGTCATATTCAGTTTGTCCAACAGCGGCCCTGGCAGGACATGTGCTACGACTACGGAATGGCATCATTCCATATCTGCCGCAGTGGTGTATTGTGGAGTATGCGTGACTGCACCATTTTTTTCGTGCCTAGGGTTAGCCGTGTACGGAGATGGCAATCGGCCCTTGCGAATCAATTACTTGGCTTATGACTGGCCATGATAGCTGTATACCCCGAGCATGTAGAAATGGAATGAATGTAGACCGTTGCATTTCACTTTCCGAACATCGGTTCGGGGAACATGTATCAGTTACGTCCGTCGAAAGGCACCCAAAACAATGCACACAATACACGTTCATGTTCACGAGCATACGTAGCGCAAATCGCGTGTGCACGGGGTTTCAAGAAAAAGTGATCCACAGATGACTTTGTTAGATGGTGTCTTCGACCTTTGCTTGCCTGGTTCCAGCTGTTTGCGACCTCTTCAACCAGTTTGCGCTTTGAAGTACACTGCACCTACATTGCGACCAAGCGTTTCTGCAGGAACCTGGCGAAAAGCAGGGTCAAACTCTAACCAGTAGTAAGGTGTTCTTTTTTCCGACAGACTCTCATGATGTTTCATGCAGCAGAGTTATCGGTGAAGACCATTGAGGAAAACTGGTTGCGTATTTAGACTATTAACAACGCGTTACCAGACCAAAGTGCACGTCACGCTAAACGTAGTCTGTGTTAGCCTTCCGGTGCCGTGCGACCGCTCCTTGTTGGATGCTGCTTCGATGGTTCAAAATTCAGGACACGTCCCCAAGGAGCTAGGCGACTTGGAGAACCTTCGAGAGCTTTATTTGCACAACAATAGTCTAACAGGTGCGGGTGGCAACACAGGCTGTAGTCCGGGATTTACATCCACTCGTTGTCCTAGAGAGAGGTATCGACAAACACGGACGTTATTCTCACGCTTTCGACAAGGTTGCTGTACAAACAAATTGTCAAGTCTGCGGGCTCGCCTCAATTTTTATAGTTTTAGAGCCCCTCGGTCGCTCAGCTTCGGTGGAATAGGCCTATCGGAAGGAAAATGTCACTGTCGTGGGATATTGGCGGCTTGCAAAATTTGAAACGTGTCCAACTTCAACCTTCCGTCTGTCGTGCCCACGCGGGAGAGGTGATCCCAAAACTGAGCATGGTCCTGTTGTCCATTCCTACTACCGTGTGCTGGTTGATACCCAGCTCGAGCGCCGCATGTTGGTTGGAAGCGCCCCATCATTCGGCAATCAATCCTGCGCACGCAGCCAAGCATGAAGTCAGAAATTGGCGTGATAAGGCATTGTGACGGCCTGTTCGCATTGCCACAGGGAGTCACCTCATCTGTACTTTAAGAGACCGGGAAAAAAACGTATCCTCGTCGACAACGGTCTCGGGGCAGCCACCTGATTCTGGGAACGACCTAGCACTCGCCATACTCTGCGTTGTGCGCCAACTCCCCAAGGGATAGATTAATCACCACCTCCTATGTAGCCTGCAGATGTTGCGTGTTGTCCCACAGAATGCCGGCGACCCTTGTGTTGAGCCTTTCCAAAACGTTTTGCTCTGTCGGAGCGTGTCATACTACACCACACGCATACTATCAACTGTACCTACACATGCGTTCTTCCCCGAGCCCTCTCCGGTCTCCTGCTGACACCCGGAACAGGCTTAGAATAGCTGGGTCTGCGTTGACCCTGGCCCTCTAATAGTCTGCTGATGCTGCGAAGAAACGAGGCCAGTGCAGCATTACCCCCTGTCTGGGAGATGTTGGCCTCGCGCGTCCTAGGTTAAAGTGTGCAGATGACGCGATCCAACAACGTACCTCTTGCAACCGTCACCACGCTCTCTTGCACCCACGAATATCGCACCAGGGTGGGTACGTACGGGTTTCAGTCCTCGATCGCAGACCTGTCTATGCGGTGTTTTTTTCAAAGAACCTTAACCGCTTATTTTTCTGACCACCAACACCCTGCTTGTGCAGGAGTCATCCCGACGGAGCTGGCAAACTTGAGTGCTCTTTCGGAGTTCGAGTTTGGAAACAACGGACTGAAGACGTTCTTGCGCCGTGGCGACAAGCTTACCGGTGAGTGCAAAGCAAGGAGAAATACACACATTAACGAATTGGGAATGCCAATGGTGATTGCGAGCACAGACGTGGAGGACACCACGCCTTGTACACTCGTTATGAGGAACACATCGCACTCAGCAGCCCGCCAGCTATCTCCATTAAGTTGCAGCTCTTGTGAAACACCAGCCGTTCCCATCATAATAAGGATAGGACCCTCAGTGTTTGATCAAGTACAAAATACTGTGCATGGTTCATCAGACCGAATTTGGTACGGATTCCGCCAGGATCGGTACTGAGACTTGTTCTCACTTTCCCACCGGCAAGTGCACTGCTTATCTAACCAGGCTCTTGCCCGTGTCTGAGTACCTTGGGGTTGGTTCTATCCTTGGGGGATTCGCGTTGAAACAAAGTATTATTTGGCAATCGCCATGTCAACCACGTCGCGAATAGTGCAACGCAAGTTGACCAATGACATAATTTGCACTCCAGATTTGGGGTTTATTGGATCCCCGATATGTCATTTCGTCCTCGTCATCGCTTGATGAAAATTGGTCGCAGGCCTCAGGAAAGGTCTACGAATCATTCTCTTCGACTTCGTCGATAATGTTGCCCTTCTGCGTCCTCGCTATTTCTTATTTGTATTAAACCGAAGTCGTTGATATTCTCCCGGTATGTCTCTCACGATGCGACGGACAGCGATATTCGGTTGGTAATTCATAGTCTTCTTTTGGTGTCTGTGTCGAGTATCCCTGACCACAGTATTTAAACGTTTTCGTCGCTGTTCGCCTATTGAAAAATACTTCTATGCCGGATGAGGTACCCTACGTTTGGGATAAGGGACGTTGGTGTCGACCGTGCCCCCCGTTGATTTTGTAGGGATTTTGTTTTTTTGTGTTTTCCACAGAGATCTGATGAGAAGTTCCTAATGACCAAGGCCACAAGGGGATGGCATGGGCTTGTGATTCCCTCTTATATCAGATGCAAATCTGACTTGGCGATTCCTGACTCGTGCACCATCCCTACGACCGAAAGTTCACCCCCAAGAAACTCGTCTTACAGTCCTCTCTTGACCCTACTTCTCCGGCAGGAGGACCGGCAAAGGGCGAGGGGCTTGATTCGTGGAGGGAACGAATGGGGCGCAACCCGAAGACGACACCGCAGACACTCACGGGCGATAAAAAGGAGGAGGACGCTCCCGCACCTCGAACCTCTCCCCCTCCGGTCTTGCTACCGCAGCAGCAGCAGATTGACGCGGGCGACGAAACCGAGGAGGATGCCCCGGTGCCGCTTGGCTCCCCCAACTCGAGGGAGGTGGTGGTGGAGGAACGCGTGCGTTCTCCGGAACATGCTTCCCTGTCCCCAGGGAAGGCAGAAGAAGTGGACCCGATGGTCAGAGCGCAGTTTTCGTCCTCTGCAGGGCTAGGTCCACTCATCAGGGAGAACCCTGAAGCTCTGGAGGACATCCAACGGGTCATTGAGGCAACAACCGTTAGAAGCATTCATCCCGATGATGAGCTTAGCGACATACAGAGTCGCCGGAACCTCGGTACGTTGGTGACCATGTCAACGGCGCTAGGCGAGGTTGCGGTGAGTCCTTTGCATGATGCGATTCCCTCAGGATGCGGCAGAAATGGCTAGAACAGCGTTGCGATGAGGAATCGATGTCGAATATGCAATGTGGTTAGTCGGGTAATCGCCCAAAACGCAATGCTGCCCGTGTGCGCAGCTGAAGCATACCGAGGACATGAGCGTCCGGCGGAAGGAGCTGGCCTTGCCTCCGTTTTCTAAAGAATACTACTCCGCCGTCAGAAGTGGTCTATGTCAGGCGTACCTCGCCGCCAGCGTCATCGACAGTAACTGGGTGTCCACGAGCAAGACCGGCGGCATGGGCAAGGTGGGCGCCGCCTTAGGATCTGAGCCTACGGACTCGCGTATCCTGCACTGTCTATAATCGCAGTGTTCATGGAATGCTCTCTTCCAGTCATTTGAAGCCCCACTGTTTTCTTTGCTATTTCAGGTAGGAGCGGCCTTGAAGCTGATGTCGGGCGCCGTTCCTTTGATCGGTGGACTGCCCAAACTAGCAGGCAAAGCGTTGGAGGCTGGAGACACCTATCTCCAAACTCGGCGACTGGTAAAGGTGCGTCTGGCGTACGACGTACTTGGTTGAATGCTGGATTGCCGTGCGCGATGCTAGACACGACTCGTACACCCACCCTCTCAAAACGAGTATGAACAACACCTACGTCCACATTCGATACTTGGCAGATCACGGCTATGGCTCCTGACACGGTGGAGTGTTGCTCTCTGGCGAGAAGGTTGGCCCTTCAACTAACCGACGGTCTCAGAAACAACGCCAGCGCCACGGACGACGATAACAACCAAGTTTGGGTGAACACCACGGCGGGCATGAACGGTGCGGTGGGAAAGAAGGACTGAATATCACAGCTCCGTTCGGATCGACCAGTCAAATCTCTTGTTCGTCACTGGAGATCGCAGGCGCATGGCTGCATGTTGAGATGTTTAAATTAATCGAAATGTGCCGTCATGTGGACTCTCCTGTTGTCCTTCGGGGTTGGAGTACATTTCCACCTATCGCCAGCGAAAGTACAAACGCACTGCCCCGAGCGCAGAAGAGCGCCAACTGTCCACGCACCAACTTTCTAACCTTTATTGACTGTGGCAACGATATTGTTTTGTGTTTCTCAGGCGGGTCTGGATGTGGCCGAGGCGCAGATATGATGCCTGGGGACATGAGCGAAGAGGACGTCTTTAAATACTTGCTTGAAGAGGTGACCGCCTACGAACGAAACGACCATGTAAGTCCATGAAACACGACATAGGACATAGGCATGGTTATTGTTGGCCGTTGTGTGGCCAAACCGTCGTCTACCCTAAGGAGGTTTCAACATGGGAAATGTCTTCCAGAAAGAAGAACGATACCGCTCTAATCATGTCGACTATGATCCCCTTTCTTTCCTTCAGGGCGGGAAGCGACTGGGCAAGAAGCACCTTCGCAAGCTGTTGAAAGCTATTCAGGGAGGTTGCCTTGACGGCTCAAATGGCACCGTACAAAAGGTGAGGACTCGCATGTGTTCCGGCCACAAGGTGTATGTCGTCTGTGGTTGCATTGTTCCTTGTGGGTTCTTGGCCCGTCGCGTAGCTTTTGCAGCTGATCCGTATTGCCGAGTGAGGGACGGGAACATTGACACCAGTCTCCGTAAAGGCTGGAGGGCTTTCGACTCTAGCGGGGCACACGCTATTGGCACAGACGTATCGTGATTGGAAGGAAACGGTTCCATCAAGACCCTCCATGACACAATAATCGACAATTTTTTTCGGCTTGGACACGGTGTTCGTGTTGTTCACCTGTGATCAGATCAAGATCCTTCTACTGGAGATTCTTCCCGAGGCTGATGATAAACCCGCCGCAACGCCCGGCACGCCGAAGGAAGTGATGGTCCGATCTCCGCCTGCTGGGGCGGCCGCCCACGACAGCGGGTTGCCCTCAAGGGCAGAGTTTGCCGCCATACAGGCAGAGTTAGCAGCCTTGAAATCCGCCAAGGACAAGCAACAAGCGGAGCTGGAAGAGCAGCAAGCAAAACTCGTAGCAGTGGAGTCCGTCAAGGAAAAGCAGCAAGCTGAGCTGGAAGCTCTCAAGTCCGGCAGGCGACAGCAGAAAGCAGAGCTGGAAGGGTTGGCGTCCGCCAAGGATGAGCTCGAGCGCAAGGTGAAAAGCTACCGACTGCGCATGCAAAGGCAACTGTATGTTTGCGTGCTGAGCTATAGATTTCGGGCATTCAGCGTATTCTGAGTCGAGTGTCAACACGAAAAATAGCTTGGCGGATAACCTGCAAACTTTTCTCCCTCGCGATCAGGAAGCACTCTTCTCGTCGTGTCTGTTCAACTACACAGGTGAAAAAACTGGAGGAACATGTCCCAGAGCTCGACAGTGAGCCGGACGATGATGTGGATTTCGGTGAGTCAACTTGCTGTTGTGTTGCCACCACCTTCATCAGTGTAAGAAATCTACGGGCACGGCCGAGAACAGCACCTCCACCATTCCCAGGTTACTGAGCCGCTAGGTTGCCATCCCGCATCGTTCTCTTCTTGTGTGTTTTCACCACCGATGACAGGGGGTGAGCTGGCTCTCAGGCGAAGGGTGGCTGTATCAGAGACGGCGAAAGGGTTTTTGGACAGAGCTCGAGATAGAGGTGAGCCGACGGTCGACAACCATGGTCATCGTGTCCTCCAACATGGGAATGGGTGTTGGGTGGAAACGGCTGTTCTACGTAGTCATCTTGGTACGGGACAAGGGCCGAGTACGCGGACCTATAGCTGAGGGTGTATTTGCTGTTGTTTGGGGAACGAGTCTTTCAGTCGTCTTCGTGAAGAAGCCTTCTGAAGGGGACAATCACAAGAATCTGGCGCTAGTTCCCGGCGGTCTGAGATTCCAATCCTGTATCACGACTGCCCACGAAATAATGGCGCTGTTGTTTCCCACACGGGCTCTGTTCCACGTGCACTGAGTCACGCAATCAAGCCAACGTGCGCCCGGCTACTTCTTGCGCATTCACCCTGTGCGATTGCTCCGCTCCCCCGCCCGAACCGCCCACCCCACCGTTGGATTTCTGCGGGTGATTTCGAACAAGAACTTGTGGCAGAGAGACTTCTGGCGCGCTTACCCCTTTCATGTGTGTGATTTCTCTGTTGCTGTGTATCAGCGGCGAGAGCGGCTGATCACCATCCGGTGACTGTCTCCGAACAAAGAGAGTTCGAGGCACTGCAGAATGAAAAGCACCGTGAACACGAAGCGAGATTGAGAGAGCTTGAAGGACAGATCAGTAAGGCCACCATACGAAAGGGTGAGTCGCCTCGGCTGTTCACCCTTTGTTTTTTGCTCCGCTCTGGTTGGCAAATGTACTGTAGACGAGCACGCTTCTCTCGTTCTGGTTTGGTGATGAATGCTGAGGACGTCATGCTGTGTTGAAAGTCTCTTGCACACGTTTACCCAAGAGCTCTTCTCCCATCTCACAGCTGGTCATGCACTGACTCACGGATGCACGTGGTACTGTCAAGGACCGTCTGCTTGCCCATGTCAACTACTTTTACTTCTACGAACGTCTGACTTGTTTGTTGTTCATGGCTGTAGCTAAATTTTCCCACGCCTCCTATCGCCTCCTATCGTTCTGTTTCATTCCACGTCTGGCATACCTTAGAAGTAGGTTTGCGAGTTACTCCAAAAGCATGGTTGGGCAATTTCTCTTCAACATCAAAACGAATTGCTTGGGTTCTCGGAGTGTCGTCACCCACAAGACGCCATGACGAGATGTCTGCTCTGTCTGGGGTTCTCCCGTTGTTCTTTTGGCCTTCATCTCAGGACGTCGATGACCCTCCATTCGCGCGCGCGGGAGAGCGGACAAATACCCTACAACAGGGCGTGATCGCCGCTTATAAAGCTTCGGCTCGAATTGTCTCCTTGCTGTGGCGTTTGCGGCTGGCGCATGGTTCCATGGTGCCATCCATCGCCATGACCGAGGGAGACGTCAACCAGATGCTGTTGTTTCCACGTACCGTGGCACGAGGAAGAGGCGGAGGAAATCGCAACAGAGAGCGCTGAATCGAAACGGTTGTGTTGCGTTATTGTTTCTATTGGCGTTGGTTGTCTCTGCCTACCTGGGAATATGCAACTTTCGATCGGATTACTGTTTGGTTGGTTTCTCGACGCCCGTTCTAGTCGTTGGTACCAGCTTGTGCGAAGTAGGAGTATCCCCGACACCCGAAGATCTGGGTGCACCGGTATGGATACGGCTTGGTGAGAATCCCCGCGTGAGACCTTTCCGGCGTGGAGGGGTAGCAAGGAATATAGATTGATATCCAGGATGCAGCCAAATTCCTCTCACGACGTGCGTGGGTTCCTGCCGGTCGATGTTTGGCTTGAAACCTCTCGCACGTGCACAGCTTCCTTGGTTTTGCGGGGAGCAAGTACCGTATCCCCTGTGGTGGACAAGATAGGGAAAAAATGAAGCAACGGTCGTTGCCTCAGTGGCACGGGAAAGGCACGTGCTTGCAAGATGTTTGATTATCGTTCCTGTTCTCCCGCAGCTGTTGCACAAGGACAGGCAAGCGTTTCGGCAAATTGCAACAAGTTTGACTGCAAAGCAACTAGTTGGTCGGCTAGATGAAATTTGTCAAACGGGTCGTCGACTCGATTTAGTTCGACACCAACCCCGGCAGGACAAGGACTACGACCAGAGAACGGTCGCGTTCCATGTCTGCCACGATACTGCGTGCTGGACAGGTGGCGGTTGTCTGAACCGTATTCATATCCTGGTTGAGCACATCAAACATTGGCACTTCGACCAATAATCAGATCCGTGATTGGCCAAGACCAAGTTTCACCGCTGGCACCATCGTGGGGGCTTCGAAACATGGCATTCCTCGTTCCTCAAGGGTCACTGCGATACCAACTGTGTGCAGAATTATTCTGCGCTCGGCATTCGTGGTGGACAAAATATTGGGCATTCGGCATGATTGAGATTTATTGATCGTAGTTTCAATGACAATGGATTCCGTAGGCGGGCCGTCTCGTGTGTCGAGAGGGCAGTTTCCTGTAGTCTGGAACGTTATAACCTGCATGGTAGCGCTTGCTCTCTGTTACGTACGTCAGGCGGCTGTACGACTTGCGTGAACCGATCGATTATTCCTGGCAACTCGGAGCCCCAGTCAAGCTGGCTAAGCCAGGGCGTGACAGGCACTAGCTTTTGATGTGGGAGAGTGTCGAATGTGCAACGATCATGTGTGGCGCGTACGTGAGGGTGAGAGTCATATCTTGGAGCACATTTGAGTGGTTCAAGTTCAAAGGGCGGACCTCGTTGGTTCCTATTCTGTGCAGGACCTATCCCTGAGGCGCTTGGAATTCTCAAGGAGCTAACGCATCTTGGCTTGGGTATGAACGAGCTCACGGGTGAGGAAACATGGCTGACCAGAGCGTGACTGCGTAGAAGATGTGTCTTTTCCACGAAATGGCGGCAGCCTGCATGGTTCGATGCAGTGGATGTGTTTTCCTTGTTGACCGACCCGAAGCCTAGCGCTGTTGGACAAGCAAGGATGACCCAATTGACAGGCGTGAAGAGATTGCGAGTTGGTAAGGTCCACTATTAGGTTGCCCTTTGGAGACAAAACAGAGAGGAGAGTGAACACAAGGTGCTTGACAACCAATCACGCAACAGACACGAGTAATCTAACCCTCGGAGAGACGCAGCCAAAGTGTATACTCCACAAAGTGCCAACGATATAAGCATGTCGGATGATGCCCCGAAGCTCTGTGTTCGTGGAACGGTCACTTTCACTTTTCGAACAAACCACCACACATGGGTACTACAGTAGCCTTCCTAAGGATGGCATAGTCTATCATACGAACAAGCTTCAACATAACTTCTTGATTCACGTGCTGAATACCTGCGCAGGCTCCATCCCGGCATGGCTGGGATCTCAAAGAACTTGCAAAAGCTTTGGCTCAACAGGAACCAGCTGGCTCTGGTGAGAGGGCAACGAGTCAAAGGGATCGTCGAATCCAGTGTGTTCGACACCGGCCCTGGCGGGACATTTAGCTACGATCGCACAAGGCCGCTTCCCGTGTCTGTCAAAAATTGATATTTCTGTAGCGTTGGGGATTGTATGATTCGTCCGCATACCGAGCTGAATCACATTGATTGACAATTCCACGTTTCAAGCCTATTACGGAGTCGGTGATTAGCCGAGACCAAATTTCGTCCCTAGCGCCACCGCTTGGGCGTTGAAGCACGACGTAGCGATTATCAACCTTGTTGTCGTGCTCGTGTTCGTAACCGAAAGTGAGGTTCAACGGTGTCCATAACTCCGATTGCTGCGATTGGCATTCGTGGGAGATGGAATGCTCGGAGTTCAGCATGGCCAAGATTGTAGTGGTTGAGGTGCTTCGACAGCCCCGCCCACGGGACATTTCCTATGATGAAATGGTCGATCCCATGGTTTTGAACGCTGTTACATCTAGGATAGGGCTTGCTCTATTTTGTCCGCAAAGCCACCAGCTGGTTGGGTAAGAGAGAATGAGTCAAACGGATCGCCCACCCTATTTTGTTCGAGAACGGCCCTGGCCGGACATGGACTACGACCAAAGAACGGTCACGTTTCATGTCTGCCACAATTTCAGGGTGTGCTGGAAATAGGGGGTTGTCTGAAGAGTGTTCATACCGAGGTTGGACACATCACACATTGGCACTTCGACCTTTGGAGTCTATCATCAGATCCGTCATTGGACAAACCCAAGTTTCACCCATACCGCCATCGTGGGGGCTTTGAAACATGGCGATTTCACGCCATTCCTCTTTCCTCAAGGGTCACTGCGATTCCAACTGTGTGTAGAATTGTTTCTGCTACGCATGGCATTTGCGGTGTACAAAATATAGGGCGTTCGGCATGTGAATGAGATTTATTGATCGCAGTATGATCGACAATGCCCTAGGCGGGCTATCTCCAGTATCGACGTGGCCGTTTCTTGTACTCTAGAAGTTTATATCGATGTGCGGCGCCTGCTCTCTGTTGCGTCAAGCGGCCGTGCGATCTGCGCCCACCAGTCGAGTATTAGTACAGCTCGGAGCCCCAGTCAAGCTGGCAAGGCCCGGGCGTGACATTCACCAGCTTTTGGTGTGGGAGGTGTCGAATGTGCTACAATCATGTGCGGCGCTTAAGCGTGGACTAGACTCGTGTGTTGGAGAACACTTGATTTTGTTTCACCGGCCTGAGTCTGTTCGTCCCTTCCTCGTGCAGGGCCTATCCTTGAAGCGCTTGGAGCTCTCAAGGAACTAACGCTTCTTTGGTCAACAAGCTCACTGAGATGAGAGAGGATGCACAAGAAGCGCTTGATTGTTTTCGAAGATGTGTCTCGCCCACGTTGTAGGAGACACGGACAGCAGCCTGCGCATGTGGACGCAATGATTGCTGAAGCTGCGCCATACCCACTTTTTCTTGTGCTGAATGCTTGTGCAGGTTCCATCCCTACATGTCTGGGATCTCCAAGCAAGTTGCGAGGGCTTGAGCTCAACGGCAACCAACTTGTCAGTGAGAGAGGATGAGTCATATGGATCGTCACATCCAGATTATTAGACGGTGGCCCTGACAGGACATGTTCCATGACCACGGAGTGCCATCATTCCATGCACCTGCCACAGTGGTGTATTGTGGAGTATTCGGGATTATACAACTATTTGCATGCCAAGAGGAAGCCGTGGATCAGGATGGCAATCGGTCCTTCCAAATCAACCACCTGCTCCATGAATGGCCATGATGGCTGTATTCTCCGAGTATGCAGACATGAGGAAATGGAGACCGTTGCATTCCACGTGGAATGATCTCCGAACATCGGTGCGGAGAGCATGTATCAGCACGTCCGATAAAATCCACCTAAATCACACACATGAGATGCGTTCATCTTTACGATCGTAAGCAGTGCTAACGGCGTGCACAGTGCAATTATTTGCATGGTGTCTTCAACCTTTGCTTGCCTGTTTCCAGCTGTGCACAACCTTTTCAACCAGTAGCGCTTGGATGTACTCTGTAACTGCATGGGCGTAGATAGTACGACCACGCGTGTCTTCAGATACTTGGCGACAAGTAGGTTTAAACCTGTCTAACCAACAATTGCTCGAAAAACATTGGTTGCAAGGTAGGTATTGTTGTTGTCTGCAAACCTCTCTCATGACTCTACGTTTTCATGCAGCAAGCAGAGCTGTCGGTGACAACGATAGAGTACTGGTTACGCATGTTTGAGTAGCGCGTTGACAGGCCAAATTTGTAATTTTGCACTCTACGCGAAACAAACGTGGTCTGTATTGACCTTCCGGTGCCATTCGACCGCTACTCGTTGGATATTGCTTCGATGATGCAAATATCAGGACACGTTCCCAAGGAGCTAGGAAATTTGGAGAACCTTCAAACGCTTAATGTTGAAAACAATCAACTGACAGGTACGGGTGGCAACACAGGCAAGCCTGTCAGTCCGGATTTCACACGTCTCCTCACTGTTCGAGAGAGTGGTATCGATACACACGGACATTGTTCTCACGCTTTGGACAACGTTGCTGTATAAGCACATTGTCGCGTCTGAGATGGTTCACCTCAACATTCGGCTGTACAGACCTGGCGGAAGGTGAAAACCACTGAAGTTGGTTGTAGGTAATAAGGTAAACGTGTCGAACTTCAGCAAGTTGTCTTGCCCACGCGGGAGAAGGTTGGGGCTGTCCCAGATCTGAGCATGATAGTCCATTCCTACTGCCGTGTGCTGGTTGATATCGAGCTCAAGCACCATTTGTTAGTTAGAAAAGCCCCGTCAATCCGTGATCAATAATGAGAATGTAGCCAAACGTGAAGTCAGGAATTTGCTTGCTCAGGTCAAGTTTCGGCCTGTACGCGTAGTAACATTGCATCGCTTCACCAGTACTCTAAAGACGGGACTAAGCCGTAAAATGGTAGGCAAAAGTGTCGATTCAGCCACGAGGTTCCCGGAACGACCCAACACAACCATCTTCCCACGGGAGAGATAAATCACCCCCTCCCATGCGTATACCCCCCCTCGGTGTTTGCCATCGGGATTGGGTGTTCGTCGCTTGGCAACGACGTTGTAAAACAAGCCGATTCACTTCGTGAGCTCGGCAACCAGGTCACTGTTTTTTTTTTGCCTCTGTTTTTTTTGTTCGTTTACCATAATGGTGGTCGAGTAGATCATGTTGTGCGGAGTCGATAACCCTCACTCCGCGTGAGGGGGATGATCGCACCACAGTGTGTTCAAATGGTCAAGCATCCTCGAGGAAGTTACACAGTGCATTCAACTGTCTCTGGAGGTGAAAGCACCAGAAAAAAAAAAATGTCATACTTAGCTGTCATCCGTACGCAACGAAGTAAGCACAAGATGCCGAACATCCTTAGCAGGATGCAGCCCACCCTTCATGCGACTCGCCGAATACCTCAAAGCGCTTCGCGCTTGGTGATGTGAGAGCCTGGTCCGGTGAGAACCCGGCGTCCTCCGCCCCGGCTTTGTAGGGATGCGAGGTCAATGGTCTAACGACTACGGCATGCACAACTGTGAGCAACCCCCCCCCCCCCCCCCCTCCTATGCCTGTGCGTGCAAAGGTTTTATTATGTCCCACTGAATGCCGGCAACCCTTGTGTTCAGCCTTTCCAACATATTTTCTCCTGTCGGAGAGTGGCATACTGTCTAGCACACGTGGACATTGCTGATCTTCCCCACACGAACTAGTCTACAGTGCACTGTACCGAT